CTAGTAAATAACAATATAATGCTCAAAAGATATCCATAATTTGCTCATTAACACTGTTAACTTGTTGATCATAGACATTGAATAATCTCTAACAGACAAAACTTATATAATCCTTAGGAATTAAATCAAAATTAGCAATATTTAGCAGCTCCTTTAAGAGTATGATCAAGTTAAATGGCATCGAAAATTTTATCAAAGGAATGTATACTAATATCTATAAAGTATTCATCAAAAGCCACAAATTTTTCAGGGAAAGACCCAATAGAATAGATAATGCAAGATTAGTTGAAATGGTAAATGTCATAGCAGTAGAAGCTGAGCTAGATAATGTGGCTAGCATTAATGCCAGTGCTATAGAAGAAAAATTAAACAAATTTTTTCTTACTTGAATTCAGAAATTATGGTGGAATTTAGGCATTCATTTGATAACTTTTTGGCATTATAGTTACATTCTGTATTGGTCTAAAATACAGCATGCTCGTAAATTAAATCTAAATTTTGTCATACACCTATAAGATTATATCTATAATATATTTACATTGGTACAAGATATCTATTTAGGCTTTTCAAATTTTAGCTAAATTTTCATCTAAGTCTTAAATAATTAAATGCTTTCAACTTCTATCTTTTAATTAGCATTCAAACTTTCTATTAGTCTAACTCTAATAGAATTTTTGCTCATTGTCAAATTTACATTTTCTGTTTTCATATTTTATCCAAATTATATATATGCCATTCCATACATATCTATCTTTAAAATATAAGCCTTAAATGACTTTTTATTTATTAATTTATTGTCCTAAGAATTAGAACTATTTACTCCCTCAAAACCTTCAATATCATTAAGGTTGTTAAGGAAATTTTTGTTCAATTTTTGATCTGGCATTTTAAACAAAATTTCAAATTCCTATGTTTATCTTTGGTATTATGTTTCTCCGATTATGATTAAGGTCAATGTATATTCATCTAATTCTTAGCTATTTGTATTTAAGATGATTTTCCTGTCAATTATGTTTTGAGAGATTTTTAGATAGCTCTCAATATCACTGTAATCGATCAAATTTAGACTCATTATCACAGGGCCGCATTCAAAATCACTCATTATCCATTTATTAAAAGTTATAGTTTTTTCTCCAGAGCCAATGCTATAAACTAAATTGTTTTATTTTTTCCTAATCATTTATACTTCAGAACAATTTTTCATTATTCTTATTTAGAATTACGTTGAAGCTTGATTTTTATTGTATTTATCAAATGCTTCAACTTTAATAGTATAAAAGCCTATTGTCTAGGTATAAGTTGTATAAACTGATATAGTACGAGTAATATTATTTATAAGGAAAGCATTTTCAGTAATGGCTGATAGTTATTGCGCTTAATATATTTGATGAATTACTCCTTAGCATGAATATGTGTCAAAAGTAAAAGAAGGTATTTATATTGTGAGAGTTTCTTAGCCTATTACATATTCAAAATTATTAATTTGAGCAGATTGAATGCCAGTGCAATTAGTTTTTATTATCTTTATTTAAACATTTGATTTATAAAATGCCCTATATGAAGTTCGTTAAGTTAATTCAATCATAACCATCATCTGGTCATTCGCAGTGTTATAATCAATTTCGAATGAAAATTTGTATATTCCTGTATCATTCACTTTGGTGATATCTTTTTGGAATTAACCATTTGCATTATCAGATGTTATGATCATTACTTTATATGCCATTAAAGTAAAACAATCAATTTTAGTTACATTAGTTTGAGGGCCAGCTATTGCCAAGGGTAAATCATAGTCGATTTCATACAGAAGGACACCCTACTCTTTTTCAATTTAAATTTCAGCATACTGGCAAGAATTCATGACATCGAAGGAATAATACAATTCTCCTATACCATATTATAACTCATCATAAACAATGATGTGAATTTCCTCGCTCAACTTTTGATAGGAAGGATCTGTGTTGGAATAAATAAGGCAGAAATGCGTTTAATTTGTATTACTTTAGAGAGTAACTAAATTTGAATTCTTATTTATAATTTCAGGATTCTGGTTATCTACTGAGTAGTGATAAGTTCTATTACATCAAATATTAGTTTACCAATTCTTCAAACACAGCTACATTGTGTCATCCAGCCCAATTTGATAAATTTAAGCACTTTTTATTACATCATTCTTAGTAAAATTGCAGACTACAATATATCAGAATAATTTAAAGTCATACTTATTGATGGTTATAAGATCAGTTAGATCATAATCTCTTTTGACGCCCATTGATTTGATACATTGAATTTTAAGTTAAAAATCTTCTCTTAAATGACATTTTCAAGTGCCCTACATATAATGATTATTTAAAGAGTTAACTTACCTAATTACTACAATTTTACTAGTAGTATCAAATAATATTTAAGAATACTTATCATAGTTTTCATTTAGGGCACTTTTTCCCTCAACGATACTTATATTGAAAGAACAATTGAGGCCATCGTAAAACCCTGGAGTATAAGTGAAGGATTAAATACTTGAGGTCTCAAGCATAATATCTTAGCCCATATTTATTGTGAAGTTTACAAACAAACCTGGTTTTCTGCAATCACTATAAATATTTAACTTCATATCAGGGATTTTAACTATCTGAATATTTTAGCAATTTGGAGTAGCAGTTTAGTTTTTCTCTTCAGAAGATACCCTGACACACAAATTATTATCATATACAGTAAGTTTTGCCAGCTATAGACCTGCTAAATTATGGTCACCAACTTTTAGTTCAACTAAATCTCTATCAACTGTATAATTAAGTGATGCCGATGGAATGGAAATAAATTTAAACTCATGAATAAATGGTGCTGCTTTCAAAAAACAATTTTATCTTTGGTATATTCTTTATTCATTAGCATCTACATGCATATCTTTATAAACAGAATTAGCAGCAGTAAGTCCATCAAATTCCATCTGGATTTCTTATTAAAATTTTAGTTCACTCATAGAAATATTGCTGCTTATGCTGATATATCCAGTGAACCTCATATCATCAAAAATTAAGATCTCAAAATAGGGCGAGTTTATTGTTAAGTTTGATTATAACATATCTGTATCAGTGTAAATTCCAAATATGTTCATATGGTCGTAATTGCTCAAAAGTAAGCCTGATTTAGCTGTTTATTCAAATTTGTCGAATTTTTTCATTCCAACAACATAGCCTGCGAAGAAAATATGATTATCTTTCCCTAATACAGCTGCTGTTGAATAGAACTTCCCAAGATTAGAAGATATTCTGGGCTTATAATAAAAGTAAATGTCAGTTTTTAAATTTAATCTTAAGTGCCCGTGCTTCGTTTCCGGTTAGGCTGAGCTGTAAAGCTATCTAATAAATAGATAAATAATGAAATTATACCTGACTCCGATTATCAATGTTTCATTGTCACTTAAAGCTTTTAAGCTTTCGCATCTGCTTATTTTATTTTAAATATGTCCAAAATTCCAAATTAATCTATTAAAAACTTAATAAAAGAAAATATACATATTCTTTGAAGAGGAAAGTAAGATTTAGTAGCCATTACTTTAAGATAGTTTTGATATAATCATTTTTTCCCCGAAAAAATTTGAATCAGCACACCCGAATAAAAAGCCTCCTGCATAATCAAGTTGCCTGTAAGACATTACTTAATTACTAAATGTCAAGGGATCATCAGATCCTCTTTCAGCAGGCAGAAAGTTTGGAATTCTATAGCTTATATAAGAAGTTGATAATTCAAAATGGATATCAAATATTAAAATCAGAGGAGAGGCATATTGGCCAAAGGAGTCACTATCATAAAATTGTGAAAATCCACCAAAAGCTAAAACTGATGAATCGTAGTTTTTGTAGCTCAATGACGAATGTCCTGCTGAATATTGAGTGTCTAGGAAGAACTATTTTGTTGATCTTCCAGTATCCAGATTGTATTAGAGAATTTGAAAAGAGCCATCAGTTATTGCAAAATTTACTCTTTAGAGTTAATCTATACTAAAACTCCAAGTTTAGAATATATTTTATGCTGATTTGATTTTAAATGACTTAATCACCTTCCCTGTACTTGCATACTAAATATAGAAATGTCCATTATCCAATAATGTAAATATCGATTCTTGATTAGGATTGAATTTAATTTCTACCACTAATATATTATATGGAGATTAGTCCAAGATGACATCCCAAAGTACTAGAATTTCAGAGTCAAGCATCATAACTATTGGATGAAAGTTAGTATCATCTGTATGAGTGATTTTCTAGGATTAAGATGCACCACCTATTGCAAGCTATAAAATGTAGGTTAATGGAACGGATATAAAATTTGCAATTAATTATCTTACTTAATCATTTAGGTTGCTATATGCAAGAGAAGAGAAAAATGTCTCTCCTTTAGGACCTCCTACTGTAAAAGGAAAATATTGCTTTCCGCAGGTTAATGTTGATACGAATTTGAACTGGTAGAAATAAACG